GCGAAGTTATGTGTGATAGAAGCTAGTTTTGGTGTGATAGAAGCTTGTTCATGCGTGATAGAAGCTGTTTGTTTATGTGTGACAGAAGCTAGGTATGTGCTTGTTGGCGGAGGTAAATATTATATGCACATGGATGCGTTTATAGGATCAGTGTGTACATATGTAATAAAGTCTGGTATGGCCGTGGTTTATGTGTGGCAGAAACTGGTGTATGTGTGATACAAGCATGTTTGTTTGTGAAAGAAGCTGATTTTTGTGTGGTAGAAGCTGGTTTATGTGTGGTAGAAGTTGATTAATATGTCGTAGAAGCTGGTTTATATGTAATGGAAGTTCGCATAACATATAATTCGGGCGGTGGTAAATCTTATGTACACATTGGTGTGTTTATATGATCAATGTGTTCATATGTAATAAATTCTGGTGTATGGTAGAAACTGACAAATTTATGCAATACAGTCTGGTAAAGTAGTGGTTTGTGTGTGGTAGAAACTGGTTTATGTGTGGTGGAAGTTGGATTTTGGGTGATAGAAGCTTGTTTGAGCGTAATAGAAGCGTGTTTCAGTGTGGTAGAACCAATTTTATGTGTTAACAAAGTTTGTTTATGTGTGAACGATGCTTGTTTATGTCTGAACGATGCTTGTTTATGTGTGGGAACAGCTTGTTTATGTGTGGTAGAAGCTTGTTTATGTGTGGTTGAAGCTTGTTTATGTGTGGTAGAAGCTGGTTAATATGTGACAGAAGCTGGTTTATGTGTGGTAGAAGCTGGTTAATGTGTGATAGAAGCTTTCTTAAGTGCGATCGAACCTTGTTTATGTGTGAAAGAAGCTTGTTTATGTGTGGTAGAAGCTTGTTTATGTGTGGTAGAGCCTGATGTATGTGTGATAGAAGCTGGTTTATTTTTGGTTGAAGCTGGTTCAAGTGTGTTAGAAGGTTATTTATGTGTAATCGAACCTTGTTTATGGGTGAACGAAGGTTGGTTATGTGTGAGAGAAGCTGGTTTATTTGTGGTAGAAGCTTGTTTATGTGTGATAGAAGCTTGTTATGTGTGGTTAAAGCTGGTTTATGTGTGACAGAAGCTTGTTATGTGCGTTTGATGTAGATTTATGTGTGGTAGAACCTGATTTATTTGTGATAGGAGCTTGTTTATTTGTAGTAGGAGCTTGTTTATTTTAGGAAGATGCTTGTAGTTTTGTGATAGAAGCTGCTTGTTTATGTGTGGAATACGCGTGTTTATGTGTGGCAGAACCTGATTTATGTGTGAACGAAGCTTGTGTATGTGTGGCAAAACCTGATGTATGTGTGGTAGAAGCTTGTGTTTGTATGGTAGAAGCTTGTTATGTGTGGCAGAACCTGATGTATGTGTGGTAGAAGCTTGTGTATGTGTGGTAGAAGCGGGTATATGTGTGACAGAAGCTTGTTTATGTGTGGTAGAAGCTGGTTTAGGTGTTGTAGAACCTGATGTATCTGTAGTAGAAGCTTGTTTATTTGTGGTAGAAGCTGGTTTATTTGTGATAGAAGCTTGTTTATGTGTGATAGAAGCTTGTTTATGCGTGATCGAAACTGATTTATGTGTGATAGAAGCTTGTTTATGTTTGGTAGAAACTGGTTTTGAGTGACAAATGCTTGGTTATGTGTGGTAGAACCTGATGATAGAGTGGTAGAAGCTTGTTTATGTGTGGTAGAGCCTGATGTATGTGTGATAGAAGCTGGTTTATTTTTGGTTGAAGCTGGTTCATGTTGTGTTAGAAGGTTATTTATGTGTAATCGAACCTTGTTTATGGGTGAACGAAGGTTGGTTATGTGTGAGAGAAGCTGGTTTATTTGTGGTAGAAGCTTGTTTATGTGTGATAGAAGCTTGTTATGTGTGGTTAAAGCTGGTTTATGTGTGACAGAAGCTTGTTATGTGCGTTTGATGTAGATTTATGTGTGGTAGAACCTGATTTATTTGTGATAGGAGCTTGTTTATTTGCAGTAGGAGCTTGTTTATTTTAGGAAGATGCTTGTAGTTGAGTGATAGAAGCTGCTTGTTAATGTGTGGAATACGCTTGTTTATGTGTGGCAGAACCTGATTTATGTGTGAACGAAGCTTGTTTATGTGTGGCAGAACCTGATGTATGTGTGGTAGAAGCTTGTGTATGTGTGGTAGAAGCTTGTTATGTGTGGCAGAACCTGATGTATGTGTGGTAGAAGCTTGTGTTTGTGTGGTAGAAGCGGGTATATGTGTGACAGAAGCTTGTTTATGTGTGGTAGAAGGTGGTTTATGTGTTGTAGAACCTGATGTATGTGTAGTAGAAGCTTGTTTATTTGTGGTAGAAGCTTGTTTATGTGTGGTTGCAGCTGGTTTATGTGTGGTAGAAGCTGATGTATTTGTGGTAGAAGCTGGTTTATTTGTGTTAGAACCTTGTTTATGTGTGGTTGAAGGAGGTTTATGTGTGATAGAAGCTTTTTTATGTGTGATAGAAGCTTGTTTATGTGTGGTAGAAGCTGGTTTATGTGTGGTAGAAGCTGATGTATTTGTGGTGGAAGCTGGTTTATTTGTGTTAGAACCTTGTTTATGTGTGGTTGAAGGAGGTTTATGTGTGATAGAAGCTTTTTTATGTGTGATAGAAGCTTGTTTTTGCGTGATCGAACCTGATTTATGTGTGACAGAAGCTTGTTTATGTGTGGTAGAAACTGGTTTTTGAGTGACAAATGCTTGGTTATGTGTGGTAGAACCTGATGATAGAGTGGTAGAAGCTTGTTTATGCGTGATCGAACCTGATTTATGTGTGACAAAAGCTTGTGTTAGTGTGACAGAATCTGATTTACGTGTAGTAGACGCTGGTTAATATGTCGTAGAATCTGGTTTATTTGTAATAGAATTTCGCATAACATATAATTCGGGCGTTGGTAAACATTTAATTGAATCTCGTGTGTAGAAAAGAGGGGCGTTAATCGAAATAATGTCTTCTTGTGTGACACAAATAGGGGAGTGGACGTTTTTGAGTCGCGCATATATCAGTCAGGCTGATATGATCGGATACAAGGCGTTGCCTTGACAGTTGCAATGTGTTTCTCTACGTGTGTCTGTGATAGCATCTAAAGGCTCTTAACGTTAAGAATAGTCACCCACTGGCGTCACAAAGATGAGGGACAGGTATTGTCCAAACGAAATACTTCATGAATATTATAAATATATGATGATGCACGCAACGATGGTCACAACCATCTGAATAAAACAACGTTAATTTGAACTTTGGAATCGTTAGTCAAATGTTTAGGAGTTATAAATATGTTTAAGAACAAAAGCTGTCTGATAGATTTAAGTAAATATATTTAATGCCTATATACCTTACTTCCATCACATGTATAAATCAGTTTTACATATGTGACAATTTACCACTGACTAAACAAGGAAATAATATTATTGCATACACAGTAATTTTATTTTCGCATGCTATATACTTTGATGTGATAACGAATACCAATTTCGTTACACCAGAACCTTTATTGAAACGCAAAAGCTTGTTATCGTGTTCTGCAGTACGATTGCGAGTAATCCGCGGATATTCCGCGGATAAGTTGCAAATAATTTGCGAATAATTTGCGAATTATTTTCCCGAATAAATCGCGAATATTTTGCTTATAATTTGCGAATGATTTGCGAATAATGTTAATTGACACCAATAAGGAGTTGTTGGGACTATCACGCCGTCAACGCGTGGCGGGCCATTGCATTACGCTCCATACATGTACAATGTATTCTATGATATTACACTGTGAATGGATTGCAGGTACATGTAATGTTTGATAAATACATGTAAACAACATTTTGTAAAATATGTACATGTTCGTGGTTAGAATACACAAACAATGAACATGTATGGAGGTACGTCCTGATTAGTGTGGCCATACAGTTAACGTTGATAACAATATGACGTGCACTGCATGTACTCCTACAAAGTGATTATTATATTATATACGCATTTGCATTATACGCACACACTTTCATTCCCATGTTATCTATATTAAAACCACTTATTAACTATGGATCTTTCTGTGTGTAAGTGCTAGGTGTCACTGTGACATAACAGTAGACCATGATCGTTCAAGCAAGTTCTACACGAACTGTACAGGTTTTAACAATCAGACAGACGTCATTAAGACAGCTAATTGTCTTGTATTAGTTTGTTATTAATGAGTTATGTACATCAAATGTCGTCAGTGCATCCAAGCTGTTTTCTACACCTTGACACACCCTTTCTACTGGATGTTTTGTTATCCAAACAAACAATATGATTGATGACTTAGCTGACTGTATCATGATATGTTTTGAGTATGCAAATACATCTTTCAAGATTTTCCGTATTTTGCCCTGTGCGGTGTGATACCAGGGTCAGGTTATCATACTCAGTCGCTCATATCCATGACATATTTCACATATTGTCTATTAAGTTGTATACAAGGGTCAGATAAATAATGTTTACGATTTTCATTAGGATATCAAACAGCGGAGCATATGATTAGTTCAATGTGTCAAAAACAACACAATTTACATGTATAATGTGAACAACTCTCAAGCGAAAATAATTGTATACTGATTAAAGTTAAATATGTAAGCAAATAGTGTTAGTTAATGAAAATCAAATGATCAGGTTTGATTTTTCTGACGTTCGGTATTTACATATTGTGTATACGAGATATACATATAGAAATTACACTCCAGTGACAAAACTAACTTTCTGAATCGCCCCATTTATATTCCGAGTTGGGATGAGCCTTTGAACTTGTTTTGTGATTCAGTTATCATCGCCTCCCTTATGTGAATATTTGATTTCCATCAATGTTCATTTTGCTGGAGAAATTGTGCACTAATCATATGTAACCGAGTCACAGACACAGGTGATAACAAACTCAAACAACATGAACACTGTGGTTCTGAAAGCCCTTGAAGAGAACAAATTAATGCGTCTCACAATATGACTATTGCCACAGCAAAGGAACCGTTTTGAAATACTTACAAAAGCAGTGTTGTAGTTTGTTCCATAAAATCGGAAAGGCGGCTGTAGGCTGAGGGAGGGGCCAGAACCATCGTCCAGCCCGGGGGTGGCAATGTGACCCTCGGTATCACCGTACGGAAGCAGCGAGCACTGGACCGACCACACACAAGTGGCCAGCAGCCATACGGGCCAGAGGACTTGACGACTCATTTCCAGATCAGTGCAGTGTGGACCCTCTGCAACATACCATCAGTGGGATCAGTTCCACATCCTACACGTACATCAGCAGCAGATATACCCTCCTTACTCCAGACACACCAGCCTCCAGAAACATAGTGCGTTATATTCTGATAATATCCACACGTTTAAGGAAACCAAACGTTCGTGTATACGCGAACATTGCATACCTATTTGCCAAATATATTTTCACGTGTTTCCCAGTCACACATGAAAGCAAATACAATTTAATTTCCAAAATATTATCGCATTGAAGCAAGACTAGGACTTCGGACACGATGATAGAACCCAGTTACATCTTACCTTAAAATATTTAGTTGCTAAATGATCCAGTTGGATAAACAATGAGAACCAGGCGACGCCCTTACCTTGATGATTCCCGTGACAAGATATGATTTAACTCTATCCCTTTATACAACAATAATACGAAAGATTCACCAAGAGAAATACAATAGATGTAAGTTTCACTTGTCGTTTTTATCTCATTCACAAACTACAGGTAGTTCAATTCAGAAAATCCAAACTGATTCGGGAACATATCACAGGTAAGCCGAACAGGCAAGGAGACAGAATACCTGCAGATACCCTGAATATATACCTACATGACTGATGTGACGCTATCGACAGAATGGGTTGTACCTCTTGTTCGTGGGTCATCCCACTGCCGAGACTCATACTCTCTATGGCTGGCGATGATGGCGGTCTCCTCCCCAGAACATCGCACTCGTCATGGAGCGGGTGGCAGAAGCAGGGTGTTTGGTGATTGATGGGCCACTGAGATGAGATCATTGCACGACTCACATGCTTATCTTAAACCCTCCAGATCGTACCCGGTGATTACACTGTACATACCTGAGCAGCTCATCTTTCGTGTCATTGGAGCCACACAGGAGTGTAACGTGCTTGTCTGAGAAATAATACATTTTCAAGATGAGTTATGTGTTATGTTTTTGCGAAGATATATTTGCATTTTAGTGCTATCGTAAAGAATACTTTCCATTTTCAGTAAACGTTTATCTTAAGCATCTTTTAATCTGGTTAAAGTAGCGAATAAAGATCCACATGCCGTCTATTTAAATGGGAAACTTGGCTTACAATGCACAAAGCTAACAGTGGCTATAATTTTCTTATGAGCAATAGGATTTTATGTTTATCATTTAGCCCCCTGAAGAGATCGTAATTGAAAGGAAAACATCTACCCGGTGAAATATTGTGTTACAGTCACAGAAACTTGCATCAATAGCTTTAAGTTCCAAATTGTTATCTCTACTCTTATTTACATATTGTCATTTATACCACCCAGGTATGTGTTTCAGGCAACATGTAAAGTGATGTGCAAAATTGAGGTAGATGTTTCAGTTAACATGTAAAGTGATGTACAAAATTCAAGGAAATGCCCCAGGCAACATGTAAAGTGATGTACAATGCTCAGGCATGTGCCCCAGGCAACATGTAAAGTGATGTACAATGTTCGGGTATGTGTCTCAGGGAACATGTAAAGTGATGTACAATGTTCAGACATGTGCCTCAGGCAACATGTAAAGTGATGTACAATGTTCAGACATGTGCCTCAGGCAACATGTAAAGTGATGTACAATGTTCAGGCATATGTCTCAGGGAACATGTAAAGTGATGTACAATGTTCAGGCAAGTGCCTCAGGCAACATGTAAAGTGATGTACAATGTTCAGACATGTGCCTCAGGCAACATGTAAAGTGATGTACAATGTTCAGGCATATGTCTCAGGGAACATGTGAAGTGATGTACAATGTTCAGGCAAGTGATGTACAATGTTCAGGTAAGTGCCGAAGACAACATGTAAAGTGATGTACAATGTTCAGGCATGTGTCTCAGGCAACATGTAAAGTGATGTACAATGTTCAGGCATGTGTCTCAGGCAACATGTAAAGCGATGTACAATATTCAAGTAAGTGCCCTAGGCAACATGAAAAGTTATGTGCAATATTCTGGTAAGTGCCCCAGGCAACATGTAAAGTGATGTACAATGTTCGGGTATGTGTTTCAAGCAACATGTAACGTAATGTACAATGTTCAGGCATGTGTCCCAGGCAAATGTAAAGTGACGTACAATGTTCAGGTATGTGTCTCAGGCAACATGTAAAGTGATGTACAATGTTCAGGCATGTGTCTCAGGCAACATTTAAAGTGATGTACATTGTTTAGGTATGTCTCAGGCAACATGTAAAGTCATGTTCAATATTCAGGTATGTCTCAAGCAACATGTAAAGAGACGTACAATGTTCAGGTATGTGTCTCAGGCTACATGTATAGTGATGTACAATGTTCAGATATGTCTCAGGGAACATTTAAAGTGATGTACAATGTTCAGGTATGTGTCTCAGGCAACATGTGATGTCATGTGCAATATTCAAGCATTTATTTCAGTTAAATAAAGTAAGTAAACTCATGTACAACATCCGGGCATGAGTCTCAAGCAGAATGTAAGGCACAATATCGAGGAATATATAAGGATAAGATATATGGATAAACAACTTCTTTATTACAGATAGGAGCGGCGTTTCGGTGCAGGTGTTTCAAGTGATGTACAGAATATAATTGACCTGTTAAGGCGGTTATCTTACATCACCCCTTTTGTGCCCATAACAGGCTTCTCTACTCCTGTGTAACTATATCCCAATCTACTCAACTGTTTAAACACTGCCTCATACCTGTATATATGTTTGTCACTCATTCTCTGTACATCACTTGCTTTATAACGGTCAAAGAACCTTCACCGAAACGTCGCTCCTAATTGTAATAAAGAAGTTGTTTGTTTATCCATATATCTTTTCCTTGTTGAGTACGCCAACATCTGAATGCTTCTCGAGGCAACTATCCAGGGGTATGTTTCAGGCAACATGTAAATTAATGTACAATATTCAGGTATGTTTCTCAGGCAACATATCAAGTGACGTACAATGTTCAGGCATGTCTCAGGTAACAAGTAAAATCATGTGCAATGTTCATGTATCTGGCTCAGCCAACATGTAAAGTCATCTGCAATATTCAGCTATGTTTCTCAGAAACATCTAAAGTCATATACCCAGGCGTGTGTTTCAGGTACACACAGACCCAAATGATCCATTTCAGGTAACCTGTAAAGTCAAATCAATTGCAGCATGCTTACATGGCTCATTAGATTAAAAGGTATTCAATTTGTTGTGTGACTTTAATCAACATTAGGCAATGTGGGATTCGTCAGAGAAAACACTGGACTGTGTGATGTGAGTATGTATTTCACCATACATCAAGGGCCGTCTGGTTTTTGCCACGTGTGTATGGATATTTAATTATCAAAAAGGGGGTGATCACGTGACTCGATTATATCTCGTGATATCAGCTATTACATTTCACTGAAAATAGTTCATATTTCAACCTATAACCTACATGCTTACCCACCACAAAGACACTCGCTTGCCTTATCGGTTTGTCTTGTACAAAACAAACACCTGATAACCTGTTTTAATTATCATTTCTCAAGTTTAAGTAGCGTAACATAAACACCAGATTTAGAATGTATATTGATAGTAATGCGAGTTCGAAACCATTATACTTGTTTTCAGAAAATAAGATTCGCATCAACCGTGAAGGTTTAACTGCTTAACGACATAGTGAAACTATGACATTAGATGGTGAAGGTGACTTAAGTTAATGTCATATAATGTCAGAGACCAAGTGTATATCAAACATCTCAGTCACAAGACACCTAAAAAACCCTGGATGATATCAGTTGTCACAACATGACTACAACAATGGCACGCCAGACAAATCGACAACATTCTTTAACAATGCAAGAGACGTATATTTAGACCTTCAACGGTTCATATGACCACCGCCAGAAACTAACGACAGTATCGATGACCAGCCTCTGTGTTACCACTGTAGTGACGTCTAATGTAAATGTAACACCGGTATTATTAAGCAACTGAAATCTAAAACGTTGCATCAATTGCAATAAAGATAGCATCCACACCATCTTGTCATTCGATGCACATCAGACTTCTTGACTTCTTCTGCACCTCAAGATCATCTTAAGACATGCACGTGTTATTAGATACACTTTCCACGATATCTTGAAACTTTGCTATCCATTTTGAACTCAATTAGCGTTGTGTTAAAGGTACACAATAATTCTAATCGTATTATAATGGTCATGAGGTATAATATCAATAACGATGTTATGTAACTCCGACATATACCTCTGTTCTGCTTCTGTGAACAACGAGCGAGCAGATGCTGTAGCAGGCAGTCACTGTATAAGGTATTTCACTTCATGGTATTTCCAGTCCACGACAGTTTAATTTTGAGCTTAACATTAACGAATATGATAATATTATTTGTACCACTTTTGCCCACATCAAGTAAAGACCATTCAGGAACTGGCTTCCAGGAACAGCGAACACATAGAAAGTTCTCCCCTCACCATTTCAATTAAAAAACACGATCGAGGCCGAATACCAAATTTTGTTGTGAGAGGGAGAGTATTATCAACACTCGTTGATAAAGTGCAAATAAATCCTCGGCAAGCCTCGGAGTTTTTCTTATTTTATCAACTCGTGTTGATATATTTGATATCAAAAGACTCTCGGGTGAGATTCTGTATTTATCTGTATTGCAGCCTACATCTGAGTTTATATGCAGCATGAGATAGAAGGCCAACCTTTGAGTGTGTATGTTACAGGGAATATGTCAACTCAGGGAAAATGTATAATCCCTGGTAATTTTTAGGGAATATTTGAAAGGCACCATACATAATACATTAAAGGTGTGGTACATATTCCCTGAGTTAACAACACGTCTTTTAGACATATTCCCCGAAGCCGCTTCATTCATGGTTTTTGAAAGAATTATTCTGTCAAGTATCAATATAACATTTATTATAAAGAAAAGGTTCGTGAACCAACATATGAAATTGTTTGTAGCCTGGTTGATGGACAATTAGTCAACACTGTCTCAAAACAACGATCGTATCAGCGTGACTGTCTTTTTAATGCTTTTAAAATGCATGACGTAATGCATGTGATGACATTTTTGTATTAAACACATCACCATCGAATAACTATATATTTTTGGTTTCATTTTAGCCACCATCAAATATGAGTGTATACATACTAATATCCAGCAGGTTAGAAAGTTGAGTCTTGCACTCTGTCACATTCTTTTTATCTAAACAGGTCGGTACTTTTAAGGTGTTGAAATGATATTAATCTAATGTCGTAAAGAAAATTGGTCATATAAACCTCAAGTCAATCGAACCCTTGGTGTTGAGGACAGTCAAAATAGATGTTAACTACTTTACTGTCTAATAACATTTACTGAATAGGTGATAATGCATCAGTAAAGTATGTCCCAAAATTATGATTTATGAAGAAATTAACGTACAATGAAGATATGATCAATGTTTTTTGTGAGGTGAATAATTGATTTGCCCGTGCATGTGTTTGTGACGGGTGCCACGGTGGGACAGGATACGCTCACCTTTTCGCGAAGACCTGGTATTTGATAGTGATGCATGCTCAGGATACAGTCAGAATCGTACAATCGACCCTGCTTTCAGCAAC